CTATGAATGTGCTATACGGTCTCATCACCACCCGCATCGATGACGTCCGCTCCAAGTTCAACCTCGATGTGAAGAAGATCCAACTAGAGCTAGAGTAGAGCGCCAAGGCCGAATCAGAGGCTCGTCCAGCAAGTTCATCGAGTGGGGAGCGGTCGTGATGCGCCCACTTCTGACGCACCTGGGTTCGACAAGTTTCATTGGGGAAACACATCAAGTCTATGTGCCTCCGCCAGTCAGAGTTGTGCGCAATTCGAGCTCTCTCCATGATTTTTTGCTCCAAGGGAATTTTCTACACATGAGGTGTCTCATGCAATTCACTCTGCGCCACGGGTTGAACTTTCTCACTTTGATGGGGCGAATTCGCGCCTGTGGAAAGCATGCTGTGAAGATTGCTTCAAATTATGGGGCACTTCGTTAGTAGGATGGATTTCTTATGCTACTGCCCGGTTCGAAGGAGCAACAACAAGGTGGCTTGATGGAGTCCAGCAACGCTCTCCCCACATAAACTGGACAGACTTCTATCAGTTACTAATGAACAGGTTCAGCACAAATCAACACAAAACTATGCTTCTCAAGATGTTTCGCATTGCCCAAGAGACAACTGTCATTGAGTATGTGGAGAGATTTGCCGAGCTATACGATTTAACTACTTTTGAGGATGTTCATGATAGCATATATTACACCATTCGTTTCATCAATGGTCTCAAGCCTAGTGTGCGTATGGTCATTGCTTTACAAAAACCGCAAGACCTGGACACTACATATGAATTGGATTTTTTGCATGAAAAACTAGGTGGAACCAACTTGTTCCGGCATCAGTAGAGGAAAACTAGTCAGTATTTTCGGTAGTTTCAGTTAGACAGAGAACAGGAGAAGGAAAACGATAGACAGACAATGGCCAACTAGGTGCAGCTGATGATAAGTGGAGCTCTCTCAGGAATTATAGGAAATCCAAGGGTTTATGTTCTATCTGTAGAGAAAAATGCTCCAAGGATCATTAGTGCAAATCTTTAGTTCAGTTGCATATTGTACAAGTAATGGTTGGTTTATTAGTGTCAAGGAAAATGGATCACTCTACAAGGAGAACTACCCACTGAATGTGCTTATACTATCATGCCCATTTGCACTAAAAATACTGAAGAAAATCTGCTAGTATACCCAGAAGTGCAAGTCATTTTGGACAAGTTTCTTGAAGTTTTTTACACAGCTACATCATTTCCACCAAGTAGGGCTTATGATCACAGTATCCCATTTATACTAGGAGCTAGAGCAGTGACAATTAGACCTACAGAATTGCACTAACACTGAAGACATAAGTGGAATAACAAGTTCAGGAAATTTTGCAGCAAGGCTTAATCAGAATCAGTCATACTCAATTTTCCTCTCCTGTTATTATGGTCAAAAAGAAAGATGGTACTTGGAGGATGGTCATTGATTATAGACACCTCAATGCACTCACACTAAAAGGGAAATATACCCTGCCTATCATAGATGAACTGATGGATCGATGAACTGCATGGGGGCCGTTGGGTTTCCAAGTTAGATTTGAAAGGTGGGTATCATCAAATCATATCGGCTCCTGGTAAAGAGTTCAAAAAAGCTTTCAAAATGCATGAAGGTGATTATGGGTTCATACTTATGGCATTTGGTCTTACAGGTGCTCCAGGAACTTTTTAGGCAACTATGAACATGGATTTTTCTCCGGCAACAAGGAAATATGTCTTAGTTTTCTTTGATGATATCTTGGGTCTTCAGTAAACTTTTGAGGAGCATTTAGTACACTTGGAGTCGGTGTTGCAAATTTTGAAGGAAAAGCACTGGAGAGTGAAACTTGATGAGTGTGCTTTTGGTCAAAAAGAAATTGCTTATTTAGGACATGTCATCAGTGACAAAGGAGTGTCCACTGATCCTAGCAAAATCATTATAGTACAAAATTGGCCCACTCCTGTTAATGTAAAGGAAGTCAGGGGATTTCTTAGACTTATAGGGTAAAAGTTTATTCAGAGCTATGGGACCATCAATAGGCCTCTGACGGCATTGTTGAAAAAGGGCACTATATTTGTGTGGACTCCAGCAACTAAACTAGCATATCAAACACTTAACAAGCCTTGTTGATAGCTCCCGTTCTAGCTCTACCTGACTTCAAAAGGCAGTTTGTGTTGGAAATTGATGCATGTGATACTGTCATTGAAGTTGTTCTGATGCAGGAAGAACATCCCCTGGCTTTTGTTAGTCAGACCTTAGGTCCGAAGAACTAGGTTTTGTCAGTCTATGAAAAGTAATTTCTAGCTATTTTTTTGGCAGTTGAGCATTGGAGATCTTATCTCGACTTCCAAGAGTTTGTGATAAAAACTAGTTAGAAAAGTTTGCTGCACTTAGCTAATCAAAGATTGAACACACCTTGGCAGCAAAAAGTCCTTACTAAACTGATGGGGCTAAATTACAAGATCATTTATAAAAAGGGAGCAGATAGTACTGCAACAAATGGTTTGCCAAGAAGACCACATGAGTTACAAGAAAAGAATGAAGTGTTTGCCATTTCTTGTGCTTAACTAGTTAGCTGGTAGATATTAAATCTAGTTAGTCTCATGGTGTGAAGGCCAAGGAGTTATTACAATGGTTGGCAACAAGCCCCACATCAAAACCTCACTACACATTGGTTAATGGCCTCATGAGGTACAAAATTCCATTTGGATTACCCATGATTTTCCCTTGCAAACAAGAATTTATCTTGCATTTCATGCTAGTCCACTGGGAGGACATTTTGGTTTCCCTCAGGTTTCTCCATCACATATAAAAGAATTCATGCATTGTTCAAATGGAATGGTATGGCACACTTCATCAAAGAGTTTGTTCAATCTTGCACTATTTGTCAAAAGGCCAAACCAAGAGAGTAAATTATCCTAGACTCCTTTCTCCTCTACCAAGATTGGGAAACAGTGACAATGAATTTTATCTCACGTCTTCCATCTTCTGATCATCTTGACTGTATTATGGTTGTTATTGACAAGTTTACCAAATATGTCCATTTCATTCCTGTTAAGCACCCCTACAATGCTATGAGAATTGTTGAATTGTTCTTTAACAATGTTTACAAGTTACATGGCATGCCTCTGTATATTGTTTCTGACAGAGTCATGTGTTTACTAGTAAGTTTTGGCAAATCTTGACCAAGAGGAATGGTACTCATATCAATATGAGCTTGCATATCACCCTGAAACTGATGGCCAGACAAAGCGAGTTAATCAACAGGTTGGATGCTACTTGAGGTGTTTTATTTCAGCTCATCCTAGGAAATGGAACAAGTGGTTAGCTCTTTGTGAATTTTGGTACAACAACAATTGCCATTTTTCTCTTGGCAAGTCTCCATTTGAGGTTTTGTACAGTCATACACCTCGTTATTTTGGTATTTCTTCTGAAGACACATTAGGTCCTCTAGATTTGCAACAGTGGTTAGATTCCGCGTATAGGCTTCAGTAAGGCAACATCTGTTAAGAACTCAAAAGTGTATGAAGGCCCAAGTAGATAAAAGGAAGACTGAAAGAGAATTTGTTGTTGGTGACATGGTTTTCTTGAAACTCCAACTGTATGTGCAAGCAACTCACAGGGCAAACCACAAACTCTCCTTTTATTACTTTAGCCCATTTCCTATTACAGAGAGAATTGGTGAAGTAGCTTATCGGTTGCAATTCGAAGGACAGTAGAATCCATCTAGTATTTCACGTTTCTCAATTGAAGTTCATTCCTCCAAAATATCGGGTACAAAATGTTCTTCCTTCTTCTGAAGCTCACTTGCAAGTACCTTTTGAGTGCTGCAGCAGCGCCTCCATACTGTAGATAACAAGATCATTACTCAAGTGCTTGTTGAATGAACTAGATTGCCATCGCCAACACTGACTTGGGAAGATCATGATGAATTGAAGCAGTTGTCTCCAAGGGCGGAGGCTTGGGGTCAAGCCTCATCTCAAGAAAGGGGAAATGCCAGGAAGCTCACTGACAAGCAAAAGGAGCAGGTGATCAAGATCGACCGTCAGCGGACGCGGGACAAGTGTGATTCAACTTGTGGGCCTTCAGGCCGGTCCACTCGTACACACAAGACTCCCCAGCAGGCCTGAACTGGGGCCGTTAAGGGTGTAACGGCTCTATGCTATCTAATTTCCATCTTCTTCATCTCATTTTGGCTTGGACACAAAGTAGGTGGCTTCGGCTAGGCTAGGTGAGGACCTCTGGTGGTAATTCAAATATGATGTGTGGGTGGATGGGAGGAACAACATAATTCCCCTTCTCTAGTTCATCAACTAGATCGAGATCGAGGAGAATAGATAGATCCTTACAAGAAGTAAGCGTTTGACAAGTTTTCTATATATTCGCAAAAGAAAAGAGAGCCAATTTTCTATTCACTCGGACTCCTTGGAGCTCCCAAAAGAAGTGACCCTAGAGATTTCGCCTTGCAGTTCTGTTCATTTCTTTGTGCACATCTTGCTTCTGCGCAGACGCCAGGGCGAGATCCGACAAACAAAAGGAGGCGAAGTCATCGTCGATCCACACGCCGCGATGAAGCAGAATAAATGTGCCTAGCTTGGAAGTAACCCCAATCTAGGCAAACGATAAGCTACTCCGTAGATGTCCGCTTTGGTTCTTTTCAGACCATGGTGCTACTGATTTCCCTGCTCGGTGTGGAAACTTGCACGCTAAATAGTGACGATTCATACTATTATCACGACGAACAATGAACACATCATCATTTCCGCTCAACAAATCAAAGAAGCGTAGAGAGTAAACATTAACCTAAGTCTACGACACTACTGTAAGATATCCTTGTTTTATCAGTCATCAGTAGCGGCACTGTCAAACTTTGATCTTGCCCGCCCGCCCTTCTCCTGTGCTCCGCTCGAGTATTATCTCTGCCTCCGTCACGCCAAAAGAGGCCGGCCGGATAAGGACACCTCGAGAGGCGGGAGTACGTACGCTGTTGCCGCCATTGCACGCATGGCCAGCGCTTACAGTAGGAGCAGAGCGACGGCGACGGCCACCGCGAGGAGGAGCTGCGACGCATGGGCGGCAATGGAGGCGCCGCCGCCCGTTGAGAACTGCTCGCCGCCGCGGTACACCATCGTGCCGTTCGTGGGCGGCACGCCGGCAGCCTGCGGGTTCTCGTCGGTGTACTTCCCACTGCGGAGCAAAACACACAAGCATACGGGTCAGCATAGCACACGGTACATGGTACAAGATCGGAATAGCACACGGTACATGGTACAAGATCGGAATAGCGTGCACGCAAGATACTTATGGCGTTGCAGATATTTTTGTAGGACGCAGATATTTTTGGACAGGGCCTCTGACTCTGAGCACACGAACATGGGAAGCAGTTGGGAGGAGGACAGCGAAAATGAATGCGAGCCGTCGTCGGCCTAGGCCTACGGGACCGCACGCGCGAAACGGCTAGAAGCCGGTACACATCGGGCTACGTCGGTTCACTTGTGGGGTCCGCGTGCGGGCTGGGACCCCACCATGCTGCCATGGATTCCTAGCCGTTGCGCACTGCTGTGTGCATTTCGGCCGTTGAATACTACAGTTCCCAACAGTGTGTCAGAATTGGCCTGACCCTTTGGAGGTGAACAAATTCCAGACGCCACATATTATATTCGGTCGCCATGACAGGACTGTGTTGCAACAGTTATAGCACACGGCCAGCTGGACCGTACGAGCACATGCTTTGATGTTCTTTGCCGACTGACCGCCGTTTACATTACTCTACAAGCATATTTGATTGTGTGGGGTGATTTATTAAGGAATGTTCAACATTTCCTTATCAAAATCCCAGCCAAACTGTTACTCCTTATACACAGATTTTAATATCTAATGCGGTAGTAGTAAACCTTATGAATTGCCACGTCCTAAAGAAAGACTTGAGCGTGTGGAGGTCCCTATCACCATAAAACCTTTTTTTTTGTCTTCCCTAAAAAAAAACCTATTTTTTGTCAAGACATTTCGTTTCGCGCCATTCAGTGAATCTACGGCCCACGATCAAATGCAACGGAGCTCAGTTGCTTGCTTGATTGGTTTGCTGAACGTGCTCAAATACGAAGCATCGGGGAAAAGAAGTTACCTGGTGGTGCTTGGGCAGAAGGTGATGGCGTAGTTGGTGCCGGCGGCGCAGGTGAAGGTGGAGGTGGAGTCGTCGTACGCGTAGCTGTAGGCGCGGGGGCACGCGCTCTTGAAGTACTGCGAGTACGCCGACGGCCGGCACGTGTTGGGGCTCCCGTACGCGCCGCTGCAGCAGTACTCCGGGGAGCCGAACGCCTCGCACGCGCTGCGGCACGCCATGGCGCTCCCGCCGACCGCGCTGCTGGCGGCACCCGTCGACGTGACCTTCAGCGCGGCCGGGCACGCGGCGTTCAGGTCGACGAGGCAGCCGGTGGCCATGCACTTGGGCCCGCTCGTGGAGCTGGCGGCGGCGGCAGTGGCAGCGCCCTGCGGTACGACCAGCATCGGCAGGTTGTAGCCGTCGACCAGGCTGACGTCGAAGAAGTCCATGCCACCGGAGCCGTCGAGCGTGAACTCCACAAGCGAGGCCGGCGGCGCAGCGCCACCGCCGTTGCACTGGAGCGCGCCCGAGCCGCAGTCGCCCGTGGCGCAGGTGAACTTGCCGGCAGCGTCCTCGGCGCAGAGCGTGCGCGCCCACATGCGCCCGGACCAGCTCGCCGGCGCGGTCACAGTCGCCGACGCGCCCTGCGCCAGCGCGAACCCCGTCGTCGACAGCGGCGCCGTGCCTGCGCCCGACAGCAGCCCCGGCCACACCGTGTAGCCGCAGTTGTTGGTCATCGTGAACGTCGCCGACCACGCCACTGCAAGCACCCAAGAACTCGAGCCGATCAGCCACACGCACACCAAACAAAAACAGAGAGTGCACATTGCAACAAAGCAGAGCATCAAAATCGCGAAGATCAGTTTACCTGGAAGCAGAAGGAGCAGAGCGATCAACCGGATAGCGATTTGAGCTGGGCTCCGTGCCATTTTCGTTCTCTCAATGTTTGACTACTCCACAAGGCCTCAGCTCGAAGCTCTGCCGCAGCTCTGCTCAGGTATGCTTTGCTTTCGTGTAATGTAATGGGCCGGGAGAGGGTGACCAGGTGAGGACGGCCGGTTGACTTATATAGACGGCGCAGCCCAAGCAAGCAGGAAAGGGGGTCGTATCTGCCCAACGGACACTGCAAGTGGGGCCGGATGGGGCAGATCTTGATGCTGTCTGCTCTTGGACGTATGTCGGCAACGGCTCCCTCACCGTCTCTGTATCTTGTCCGTAGCCAGCCACCGTCCTACGTCCGCCGCCTCGGCTCGTCGAATATCTGAGCGGTCGAGAGCTGGACGATGGAGTTGGGAGAGATTTGGCCGTTCCGTAATCCATTTATAGAGACGTGGCCGCGTGGGACGGGGGCGGTAGCGGTGGTTGATGACCGGAGAAGAAACGGGGAAGGTGAGCAAGAAAAGAAAAGTCTGGCGCGCAGCTGTTATGCATTTTTGTTCAGTTACATGTTGGACTTGCTGGGATTTTGTTTCCTCCTCCAAAGGAAGGAATTCCACTTTCGTAACTCTCAAGCTGCAAATGATCGCCCCCCTCATTTGACCTCCTGCCAAGGCACATCGATATTTCGTAGGGAGATTACAAAGACCCGTAAGTACTCCGTGTCTTGCCTTGCACGAGATATTAACGTGGTTTAAAGCGAACCAATTTGTAGTTGGATGGTTAGAGGGACAGTAGTATCCCCAACCCATCAGGGTTTAAGTCTTGCTGCTCGCATTATTTCAGGATTTATTTCAGGATTTTCGGCGATGTGCTTTCAGTGAGAGGAGACGTTCTCGTCAACAACAAGGTGCGTACAATGATTTCGTAAATTTAAAGATGACATGCCGGCTCAGTTTCTCGGAGGTGCTCATAGGGATAGGGTGTGTGTGTGTGCGTTCATAGGGATGAGTGCATGGACGTATGTATGAGCGCTTGCATCTGTACTGATGTTCAAAGAAAAACATGATTTAAACATATCTCTCGAATAAAGATTGCATTGGGAGGCTTTCCAAAAGATAAAAAAGAATGCATTAGGCAGGCCAGGTTTTGCCGGGTTGATCTCCTGGAGTTTTCGGAGTTGTGATTTTCGCAGGGAGAAGTCTATATTACAACATCGAATTTACTTTGAATTTTGAAACCAACTATTTTATAGGGGTGCGCTACGTGTAGACCTGCGGATCTTTAAAAAATTCGTCACCTCGCGGGCCATTGTATTACACTTGGGATGGTCGTCAGATTCAACCGCGAGCTTTGCAACAAGGATGATGTTGCGCTTAAATGTTTGCGACATAGTTTATGTTACACAACTTTTGCAACAGAGGCATTGCTGCAGAAATTGTTTTGCAACAGAGCTAATGTTGCGGAATATATTTTTTGTCTCACCTTTTCATCTTTTATATGACGCTATGGAAGAAAGTTTTACAACATCACTGATGTTGCATAAATTCTTCTTGTAACAGGGAGAATGTTTCAAAAGAACCGGCCGACGATGTGGTGTGCAACAGGGGCCGGGTTGCGGAAACGCTTATGAAACACGAGTCAAGTTGCAGGAGTAAAGTGGCGGAGGTTGGCTCCCGACTGTCTGCTCAATAACAGATCGGACGGTCACGGAGGCGGTCGGTGTGAGCGTATAGATATGCTGGGTGAATACAAGTGTTTCCCTATTTTATAACCCCCAAACTTTGAAAACCGTCTCCCTTTCTCTCCAATTCCAATCCCGACTCATTTGATACCCAACCAATGTTGCCACCCCCTACGCCACCCCAATCCGCCGC